AATTAAGAGAAATAGCAAATGGTTCATAAATATTCATTTAATCACCCAATGTTATAAGGCACTACGTTGAAACAGTGAGATCACAAATGTTGCATATATTCACAAATTTATCATTCTAACTATTCTATTTTGCTTCAGAATCAACTACGTTTGAAACAACAACACCATTCATAACCACAGAAACAACAGGTATTTCACCTTACAATTCAACATCATTTGCTATTTTTGAAGAATTATGTATTGTGGTCAATCAAAACAATCTGATAAAAAAAAACCTTTGGATTGTTAGTCAATGAGTTTATCATCATTCAAACGATTTCCTCTCTTTCTTGTTATTTTCCACTTTAGCAACATCTCTGTCAACAGGTGATATGCACTGCATGTTATAACATAATTATGAGACTGTAAATTCCAGAAGAAATAGTGACACTGTAAACATACATAGAAGGTGGATGATCACATAGATTGAAATCCAAAGTGTGCAAGATTCTTTTGTTCTATGGCAATCAATGTGTTTTTCTCTACATCTCTATCAATGCATCTCTTTTGAAGTAAAGCAAAACAAGTATCTTATCAATTTAGATAATCTTTTCTATCAGCATTTACAGAATCATTAACAAGCATCTCAGAGATTAGCACTACAGCAGACATTACATCATCTTCATTTACTGATAAGACGAGAGAAAATATGGAAATAATATATTTGCTGATTCATTTACCATCAAATGAGATTGACAATTTGCTTCACCCTATAATCTGAATTAGCTCAAAGTCAGCTAATTTCTGACTTCCCCTTTCCTCTTTACTGATAATCATCATTATTATCAATAATGTTGTTCAATCATAAATAACTGAGAAACTTGGTTAGTTCAAACTGAGACCTGGTGAAGATAAATTGTTGAATTGATTCATTTGAACACTGATCAGGAACATTGATCCATTATTTGCAATTTAGAAACACCAACATCAACAGCAAATGCATTGGAGACATCATCATCATCACCATCAACAATAGGTACAGTTTGATGCCATTTTCAAACAGAGCAATTAGATTAAATCAATGAATAGGAAGAATAAATTTGCCTGATAAAATCATCACATGTTACGGTCAGAATATATTACACAACAGTGAAATCCAACAGCGCGTAATATTTCTTTGTTATATGCCAATCACAGTGAATCATTCTCTTCACCTCCATCCATGTATCTCTTTTGAAGTCAAGCATTACATTGTTCTTACCATCATAGGTTCTACTTTTGAATCAACATCTTCAGAATCATTAACAAGCGCCCCAGAGATTAGCACTACAACAGACACAACATCATCTTCAACCATTGGTAAGATGAGTGACAAAATCATCCCATTTTACGGTCAGAATATATTGTACAAATTGAAATTCAATAGTGCGTAAGATTTCTTTGTTATATGCCAATCACAGTGAATCATTCTCTTCACCTCCATCCATGTATCTCTTTTGAAGTCAAGCATTACATTGTTCTTACCATCATAGGTTCTACTTTTGAATCAACATCTTCAGAATCATTAACAAGCACCCAAGAGATTACCACTGCAACAGACACAACATCATCTTCATTCACTGGTAAGATGAGTGACACTGTACAATTACATAGAAGGTGGATCACTGCATAGATTGAAATCCCAATGTGTGCAAGATTCTTTTGTTCTAAAGCCATCAGCATGTGTTTCTCTACACCTCTATCAATGTATCTCTTTTGAAGTGAAACAAGACAAGTATCTTATCAATTTAGATCCTTTTTTTCTATTAGCATCTACAGAATCATTAACAAGCATCTCAGAGATTAGCACTACAGGAGTCACAACATCATCTTCATTTACTGGTAAGATGAGTGAAACTATCAACATATACATATTTTCAGATTTGATCATCAGCAAATGAAATGATTTGATATCTCTTCATTAGAGTAGTCCCCATGGTAATTATTGCAAAGGCGCAATGGTATTTTGCTGCCCTTCTTCCTCAATCCTCTTCAGTGAGAAACATCATTATTATTATCAGTAATGTAGTTCCATCATAAAAGTCTGAGTGATGTGGTTTCTTCAAACTGATACATGGTTAAGATAAATTATTCAATTCATTCAAGTGAACACTGACCAGGAATATTGATCCATTATTTGCAATTTAGAAACACCAACATCAACAGCAAATTCATTGGAGACATCATCATCATCACCATCAACAATAGGTACAGTTTGATGCCATTTTCAAACAGAGCAATTAGATTAAATAAACGAATAGGAAGAATAAATTTGCCTGATAAAATCATCTCATGTTACGGTCAGAATGTATTACACAACATAAGATCCAAAAGTGCGAAAGATTGCTTTGTTCTATACCAATTGCAGTGAATCATTCTCTTCACCTCCATCCATGTATCTCTTTTGAAGTCAAGCATTATATTGCTCTTACCACCATAGGTTCTACTTTTGAATCAACATCTTCAGAATCATCAACAAGCGCCCCAGAGATTAGCACTACAACAGACACAACATCATCTTCATTGACTGGTAAGATGAGTGACACTGTAAACATACATAGAAGGTGGATGATCACATAGATTGAAATCCCAAAGTGTGCAAGATTCTTTTGTTCTATGGCAATCAATGTGTTTTTCTCTACATCTCTATCAATGCATCTCTTTTGAAGTAAAGCAAAACAAGTATCTTATCAATTTAGATAATCTTTTTCTATCAGCATTTACAGAATCATTAACAAGCATCTCAGAGATTAGCACTACAGCAGACATTACATCATCTTCATTTACTGATAAGACGAGAGAAAATATGGAAATAATATATTTGCTGATTCATTTACCATCAAATGAGATTGACAATTTGCTTCACCCTAATAATCTGAATTAGCTCAAAGTCAGCTAATTTCTGACTTCCCCTTTCCTCTTTACTGATAATCATCATTATTATCAATAATGTTGTTCAATCATAAATAACTGAGAAACTTGGTTAGTTCAAACTGAGACCTGGTGAAGATAAATTGTTGAATTGATTCATTTGAACACTGATCAGGAACATTGATCCATTATTTGCAATTTAGAAACACCAACATCAACAGCAAATGCATTGGAGACATCATCATCATCACCATCAACAATAGGTACAGTTTGATGCCATTTTCAAACAGAGCAATTAGATTAAATCAATGAATAGGAAGAATAAATTTGCCTGATAAAATCATCACATGTTACGGTCAGAATATATTACACAACATGAAATCCAAAAGTGCGTAAGATTGCTTTGTTCTATGCCAATCACAGTGAATCATTCTCTTCACCTCCATCCATGTATCTCTTTTGAAGTCAAGCATTATATTGCTCTTACCACCATAGGTTCTACTTTTGAATCAACATCTTCAGAATCATTAACAAGCGCCCCAGAGATTAGCACTACAACAGACACAACATCATCTTCAACCATTGGTAAGATGAGTGACAAAATCATCCCATTTTACGGTCAGAATATATTGTACAAATTGAAATTCAATAGTGCGTAAGATTTCTTTGTTATATGCCAATCACAGTGAATCATTCTCTTCACCTCCATCCATGTATCTCTTTTGAAGTCAAGCATTACATTGTTCTTACCATCATAGGTTCTACTTTTGAATCAACATCTTCAGAATCATTAACAAGCACCCAAGAGATTACCACTGCAACAGACACAACATCATCTTCATTCACTGGTAAGATGAGTGACACTGTACAATTACATAGAAGGCGGATCACTGCATAGATTGAAATCCCAATGTGTGCAAGATTCTTTTGTTCTAAAGCCATCAGCATGTGTTTCTCTACACCTCTATCAATGTATCTCTTTTGAAGTGAAACAAGACAAGTATCTTATCAATTTAGATCCTTTTTTTCTATTAGCATCTACAGAATCATTAACAAGCATCTCAGAGATTAGCACTACAGGAGTCACAACATCATCTTCATTTACTGGTAAGATGAGTGAAACTATCAACATATACATATTTTCAGATTTGATCATCAGCAAATGAAATGATTTGATATCTCTTCATTAGAGTAGTCCCCATGGTAATTATTGCAAAGGCGCAATGGTATTTTGCTGCCCTTCTTCCTCAATCCTCTTCAGTGAGAAACATCATTATTATTATCAGTAATGTAGTTCCATCATAAAAGTCTGAGTGATGTGGTTTCTTCAAACTGATACATGGTTAAGATAAATTATTCAATTCATTCAAGTGAACACTGACCAGGAATATTGATCCATTATTTGCAATTTAGAAACACCAACATCAACAGCAAATTCATTGGAGACATCATCATCATCACCATCAACAATAGGTACAGTTTGATGCCATTTTCAAACAGAGCAATTAGATTAAATAAACGAATAGGAAGAATAAATTTGCCTGATAAAATCATCTCATGTTACGGTCAGAATGTATTACACAACATAAGATCCAAAAGTGCGAAAGATTGCTTTGTTCTATACCAATTGCAGTGAATCATTCTCTTCACCTCCATCCATGTATCTCTTTTGAAGTCAAGCATTATATTGCTCTTACCACCATAGGTTCTACTTTTGAATCAACATCTTCAGAATCATCAACAAGCGCCCCAGAGATTAGCACTACAACAGACACAACATCATCTTCATTGACTGGTAAGATGAGTGACACTGTAAACATACATAGAAGGTGGATGATCACATAGATTGAAATCCCAAAGTGTGCAAGATTCTTTTGTTCTATGGCAATCAATGTGTTTTTCTCTACATCTCTATCAATGCATCTCTTTTGAAGTAAAGCAAAACAAGTATCTTATCAATTTAGATAATCTTTTTCTATCAGCATTTACAGAATCATTAACAAGCATCTCAGAGATTAGCACTACAGCAGACATTACATCATCTTCATTTACTGATAAGACGAGAGAAAATATGGAAATAATATATTTGCTGATTCATTTACCATCAAATGAGATTGACAATTTGCTTCACCCTAATAATCTGAATTAGCTCAAAGTCAGCTAATTTCTGACTTCCCCTTTCCTCTTTACTGATAATCATCATTATTATCAATAATGTTGTTCAATCATAAATAACTGAGAAACTTGGTTAGTTCAAACTGAGACCTGGTGAAGATAAATTGTTGAATTGATTCATTTGAACACTGATCAGGAACATTGATCCATTATTTGCAATTTAGAAACACCAACATCAACAGCAAATGCATTGGAGACATCATCATCATCACCATCAACAATAGGTACAGTTTGATGCCATTTTCAAACAGAGCAATTAGATTAAATCAATGAATAGGAAGAATAAATTTGCCTGATAAAATCATCACATGTTACGGTCAGAATATATTACACAACATGAAATCCAAAAGTGCGTAAGATTGCTTTGTTCTATGCCAATCACAGTGAATCATTCTCTTCACCTCCATCCATGTATCTCTTTTGAAGTCAAGCATTATATTGCTCTTACCACCATAGGTTCTACTTTTGAATCAACATCTTCAGAATCATTAACAAGCGCCCCAGAGATTAGCACTACAACAGACACAACATCATCTTCAACCATTGGTAAGATGAGTGACAAAATCATCCCATTTTACGGTCAGAATATATTGTACAAATTGAAATTCAATAGTGCGTAAGATTTCTTTGTTATATGCCAATCACAGTGAATCATTCTCTTCACCTCCATCCATGTATCTCTTTTGAAGTCAAGCATTACATTGTTCTTACCATCATAGGTTCTACTTTTGAATCAACATCTTCAGAATCATTAACAAGCACCCAAGAGATTACCACTGCAACAGACACAACATCATCTTCATTCACTGGTAAGATGAGTGACACTGTACAATTACATAGAAGGCGGATCACTGCATAGATTGAAATCCCAATGTGTGCAAGATTCTTTTGTTCTAAAGCCATCAGCATGTGTTTCTCTACACCTCTATCAATGTATCTCTTTTGAAGTGAAACAAGACAAGTATCTTATCAATTTAGATCCTTTTTTTCTATTAGCATCTACAGAATCATTAACAAGCATCTCAGAGATTAGCACTACAGGAGTCACAACATCATCTTCATTTACTGGTAAGATGAGTGAAACTATCAACATATACATATTTTCAGATTTGATCATCAGCAAATGAAATGATTTGATATCTCTTCATTAGAGTAGTCCCCATGGTAATTATTGCAAAGGCGCAATGGTATTTTGCTGCCCTTCTTCCTCAATCCTCTTCAGTGAGAAACATCATTATTATTATCAGTAATGTAGTTCCATCATAAAAGTCTGAGTGATGTGGTTTCTTCAAACTGATACATGGTTAAGATAAATTATTCAATTCATTCAAGTGAACACTGACCAGGAATATTGATCCATTATTTGCAATTTAGAAACACCAACATCAACAGCAAATTCATTGGAGACATCATCATCATCACCATCAACAATAGGTACAGTTTGATGCCATTTTCAAACAGAGCAATTAGATTAAATAAACGAATAGGAAGAATAAATTTGCCTGATAAAATCATCTCATGTTACGGTCAGAATGTATTACACAACATAAGATCCAAAAGTGCGAAAGATTGCTTTGTTCTATACCAATTGCAGTGAATCATTCTCTTCACCTCCATCCATGTATCTCTTTTGAAGTCAAGTATTATATTGTTCTTACCACCATAGGTTCTACTTTTGAATCAACATCTTCAGAATCATTGACAAGCGCCCCAGAGATTAGCACTACAACAGACACAACATCATCTTCATTCACTGGTAAGATGAGTGACACTGTAAACTTACATAGAAGGTGGATCACCGCATAGATTGAAATCCCAAAGTGTGCAAGATTCTTTTGTTCTATAGGAATCAATGTGTTTTTCTCTACATCTCTATCAATGTATCTCTTTTGAAGTAAAGCAAAACAAGTATCTTATCAATTTAGATACTTTTTTTCTTTCAGCATTTACAGAATCATTAACAAGCATCTCAGAGATTAGTACTACAGCAGACATTACATCATCTTCATTTACTGATAAGACGAGAGAAAATATGGACATAATATATTTGCTGATTCATTTACCATCAAATGTGATTGACAATTTGCTTTACCATAATCATCTGAAATAGCTCAGTCATCTAATTTCTGACTTCCCCTTTCCTCTTTACTGATAATCATCATTATTATCAATAATGTTGTTCAATCATAAATAACTGAGTAACTTAGTTCGTTCAGACTGAGACCTGGTGAAGATAAATTGTTGAATTGATTCATTTGAACACTGATCAGGAATATTGATCCATTATTTGCAATTTAGAAACACCAACATCAACAGCAAATGCATTGTTACAGTTTGTTTCCATTTCCAAACAGAGCAATTAGATTAAATAAACGAATAGCAATAATAAATATATCTGGTTAAATCATCCCATATTACGGTCAGTATATGTTGCACAAATTGACATCCAAAAGTGTGTAAGATTGCTTTGTTATATGCCAATCGCAGTGAATCATTCTCTTCATCTCAGTCTATGTATCTCTTTTGAAGTTAAGCATTATATGGTTCTTACCACCATAGGTTCTCCTTTTGAATCAACATCTTCAGAATCATTAACAAGCGCCCCAGAGATTACCACTACGACAGACACAAGATCATCTTCATTCACTGGTAAGATGAGTGACACTGTAAACCTACATCGAAGGTGGATCACTGCATAGATTGAAATCCCAAAGTGTACAAGCTTCTTATGTTCTAGAGCAATTAATGTATTTTTCTCTAAAATTCTATCAATGTATCTCTTTTGAAGTAAAGCAAAACAAGTATATTATCAATTTAGATACTCTTTTTCTATCAGCATTTACAGAATCATTAACAAGCATCTCAGAGATTAGCACTACAGCAGACATTACATCATCTTCATTTACTGATAAGACGAGAGAAAATATGGAAATAATATATTTGCTGATTCAATTACCATCAAATGAGATTGACAATTTGCTTCACCATAATTATCTGAAATAGCTCCAGTTGATCAAATTCCTGATTTCCCCATTCCTCTTCACTGAGAAGCATCATTATTATCAATAATGTTGTTGAATCATAAATAACTGAGTAACTTAGTTCGTTCAAACTGAGACCTGGTGAATATAAATTGTTGAATTGTTTCATTTGTACGCTGATCAGGAATATTGATCCATTATTTGCAATTGAGAAGCACCAACATCAACAGCAAATGCTTTGGAGACATCATCATCATCATCAACAATAACATGTACAGTTTGGTTCCATTTACAAACGCTGCAATTAGATTAAATAAATCAATAACGAATTTGCTTTAGAAATTCATTGCATATTAAGGTCAGAATATATTGCACAATTTGAAAACCAAAAGTGTGTAAAATTTCTTTGTTCTTTGCCAATCACATTGAATCATTCTGTTCATCTCCAACAATGTATCTCTTCTGAGGTCAGCATTATATGGTTCTTACTACCATAGGTTTTACTTTTGAATCAACATCTTCAAAATCATTAACAAGCGCCCCAGTAATTACCACTTTAGCAGACACAATATCATCTTCATTTCCCGACAAGACGTGAGAAAATATGGACATACATGTATAATACATACAACATCCTCGAAATCATTAACAAGCACCCCAGAGATTATTGCTACAACAGTCACAACAACATCTTCATTTACTAATATCATGAGTGAAACTATAAAGATATATGTTTGGGGATTTGTTTACTATCAAATGATATTTCCAATTTGTTTTATTCTAATTACCTGAAACAGCTGAAAGTGATTTATTGCCTTCTTCCCCAATGCTCTTCATTGAAAAGCATTATTATTTTTAACAATAGTGTTGTTCAGTCATAAAAATCTGAGTAACTTGGTTCCTTCAAACTGAGACAAGTTGAAGGTCAATTGTTAAATTAACTGATTTGAACACTGTTCAGGAATGTTTATTCATTGTTTGGAATCTAGAAACATCAACATCAGCATCAACTGGAATATCGTCGTCATCATCATCATCATCATCAACAGGTAGAGTTTGCTTCCACTAACCAATCATGATAATTGGATTAAAAAACTGATGAGAAACAATGAATTCATAACACATAGAATTTGCCTTAGAAAATCATCATATTTAGGTCATAATACGTTGCACAGATTCAAATCCAAAATTGCGTAAGAATGCTTTCATTCTGTGTTAATCATAGTTAATCATTCTCTTGATGTCCATGAATGCATCTCATTTGAAGTAAACCATTACATGGCTCTTATCAACCCTAGATCCTACTTTTGAATTAACATCTTCAGAACTATTAACAAGCAACCCAGTTGTTACCACTACACCAGACGCAACATCATCTTCATTCACCGGTAAGATTAGTGACACTGTAAACTTATATAGAAGATGGAACACTGCATAGATTGGAATCCAAAAGTGTGCAAGATCCTTTTGTTCTTTAGCAATCACAGAGTGTGTTTCTCCACACTTATACCAATAAGTGTTAATTATTCTTATTATTGGTATTATTATTGGTATTATTATTTTTGGTATTATTATTATTTTATTTCACTCAGTAGAGTTAATTTCTAAATGTTTTTCTGTTTTGAGTCAGCCAATAACACTGCTGCATTGCATATGAATGGATATTATTATGTTTGAGTTTTCTAAAATAGCTACTTTTTGCAGTAGGTTGATATTTTGTTCACAGAGTATTTTGTCAAGCCGTTTGTGTTATTAACAGCCACTGTTGCACCGATGATTCTAGGAATTATGCTTGTTTTATACTGCCACATACTTCCTCAGTCAATTTGTAGATCAGTATATTTCCTGATCTTCTCCAGTTCCTTATTTTTTGACCTTGTAATCACATGGGATAGTCACATTAATAACACTTGTACAATCTAGTTGTGTTTTTATGATGAAATCTGATTTTGTTCAGATTACCATTCTTTCTGTATGTACTCATGAGTCCCAGATTATTGCAATGCTATTTTGTGATGTCACTTTTGCTGGTTGATGTTCATACCGGTTGATCTTTACATGAATATGAAAGTGTTTACAAATTGTCCAGTGAATACATTTAGTTATGTTGTTATGATGAATCAGGTACTCTGATTGTGCTCGGGCTGAACATGATGACAATATTTGGATTCCAGTTTCTGGTGCTTGGATGACATATTCAGCATTTCAGATCAGTGTTTCTCTTTAAGATCTTATTTTCATATTAATAGCTTGATCTTGTGCTGATATTATGAGAACTCCCACAAATATACAGTCAATTCACTTTACAGTCTATTCTGCGAAGCGCTTTGAGACGGCTAGAAGATGTGAAAAACGGTATATCAAATGCAAGGATTATTATTATTAATATTATTATTTATTAACTCCTGTTTTGGCGCTCAGATCCCTGTTATTATTATCAATGTTATTCAATCATAAAAATCTGAGCAATTGTTGAATGAATACATTTGAATAATTTTCCATTATTTACAATCTAGAGAAAAAACACCAGCAAGAACTGCAATGCCATTAATAGGTTCAGTTTGCTTCCAAAACAAAACAATTAATTTGTATCAACTGGATATTACCTAAGAAAATCATCATATATTGAGGTCATAATACATCATATATAGTGAATTGAAAAATTGGATAAGACTGCTATGTTTCATGGCAATCACAATGAATCATTCAAATTATGTAATTAAGTAATAATAATAATCCTTGCATTCGATATCGCGCTTTTCACGTCGGGAGGACGTCCCAAAGCGCTTCACAGAACACACTGTAAAGTGAATTGACTGTATATTTGTGGGCGAACGCGGCAGCCAATTGCGCACAGCAATGTCCCACAAACAGTCGTAGATTGAAAATGACCAATTTATTATTGTTTTTGGTTTTGGAGGGATTATTATCAGGCGTGTGGAGTAAGGAAACTTGCCCAAGGTTTTGCACTGCCTGGAATTGAACTCAGGTCTCTCTCTTGCAAAGCGAGTGCTCTAACCACTGAGTTACAGGACTCCAAGTAATTCTTTTCATTATTGCTCCTTCGGTTGTATCAATGTTTTCAGAAACAATCATAAGCACTGTTGTTATTACCAGAACAGCAGAATTATTTCCAGAATAATATTATCCTTTTATAAAGCATATCGTGTCTGCTGACAGAACAATGCAGTACTGGGGGAAGCGCTGCATTGTCAGAGGTGCTATAATAAATAATAATCCTTGCATTTGATATAGTACCTTAACACGTCTTCGAAACATCTCGAAGTGTTTCACAGGATATACTGAAAAGTGAATTGACTGTATATTTTGCAGGCAAAATGCGACAGTCAATTGCACACAGCAGTGTCCCAAGAACAGTCATGGATTGAGTGACCACATTTTTTAAAATGCATTTAATTTTTTTGAAGGGATTATTACCCCTGGAAAAACCATCCGCTAATCAACCAACAACCAGGTTCCGACTTACTGCTTGGTGAACAGAGGCATGTAGAGCAAGAAAATTTGCTCAATGTTACATCCTGCCTGGGAATCGAACCCAGGTCCTCTCGTTTGTGAGGCGAGCGCTCCAGTCACCAAGCTACAGGACTCCACGATAAGTCCTGCTGGGTGTTAAGGATCCCATGACACTATTCAAATAGAGAAGGAAGTTTCTCCAACTATAAAATAAAATAGATACAACAGTTAGAATGTATTTGCATAAGGCAGGCTTAATTGGGTGAATAAACAGGTAGAAACAATGAAGTAGAAACACAGCAAGCCTCACATTTGTCGATTTCATGGGGGTAAACATAGTTACACACAGCTTCAGAAACATTAACACGCGTGTCTTAGTTAGCCACTTTTGCATATGCAGCATCTTTCCTCAGAGACCAGGAAAGATGTTGCATCTACAGGATGTCCAAACAAGATGTTGTTTCCTTTGAAAAAAGTCACTGCATTCAAGATATTCATGCTCTCCAAGGTATTCATTATATGTTTTAAGTTGATATACCCAGTTGTAATTCACAAACCTCATGTTTATTAAACACCTATCAATTCCATCCCACTCTCTTTTGTATTCATGCGTCAAATACAACATGCTCCCCTCATGACGTTTTCACTAGGAACATGGCCTGAGTAGTTTACTCTACGATATCTCGCCCAAAGCTCCAAAAACATTTGCCAAAAGCATGGAGATACAAAATCTCCAACCGAGAACTTGATTTGGATCAGGATAATATTCTAAAAGCTTCTCTGAGGAGGAGCCTTCACTCCTCTGTTCGTGTGTTGCTGTCTCCATTGTTGTTTTCATTTGCTTCAATAAATTGCATTATTTGTGTTTTCATGTATTTAGTTTGATCCATTGTTTTTCTTTTAAGTCTCTAATACTGGTTGCAGTTCTGGAAATCCTCCATGTTGCACAGGAAGGAATGACTCTTGTAGCTCAAGCAATTGCTTTTGTGATGAATATTGTCTTCAAGCGAACGACTGCTGCTATGATTATAAAAGCATTTGTGGTAGGTAATTAATGGATTCTGTCCCAAGGATGCTATGATTACACCCTGTTATACACCCAAACTTCTTATGAGACTCAGAATAACAAAAGTGCTAAAGAGACTCAAGTAAAAACTGCAAGCATTCTGATAGAGCCTCTCTCTGAGAATATTTTGGATTCTTACTCGTTCCATCTCACTACTTATTAAATCAATGACAGACTGTGTACAAATACTCTGATTGAGCTGATTTTTTGCCTTTCTGAGAAATCTTTTTGAGCAATTGTTCTGATAAATACAAAGCTTGAGTAGATCATTCCATTCTTTCACCTATGGTTAGCAAACATACATTCTACGGGCTGCGTAATAAAAGCAGGAAGCCCAAATATAATTATATTATGTTGAAAATAATAAATTGTTGTATATTGTATTCAAACAGAGGTACTTTATCCCAAATCCCAGCTTCAGCTTTTCTGCTGGTTCTTACAGGTTAGCACCTATGCACATGATTGGAGCAAAATTCCAAACAAATTTTTCTGCAATATTGAACAAACAAACCACATATCTACATCAGACATTTCCACACAAGGTCCACCAAAGGTGGCAATGATGCAATACATCCTCTGGCCATTATATTTCAGGTGCCAACCTAGTATTGCCATCAACGTGACCAGTCCTTTCCTTTATTATGGTATTAGTTCTTTGAACTGTGAACTTTTCAAATTGAAATTGTAACTCTTTTATTTCATTCTCACATTCTCCTCTAAAGACACAAGTGTCAATCCACAATTAATGTATAATTTACGTGAACATTTTTGAACTTTTCCTTTGCAATGCTGTGTGGTACTCATCGAAACTATAAACATATGCATTTCTTGAATACATTTTCTGTGAATACTGGCATATGCTGCTTTAATCAAGGATAAATTATTCAGCTAACTCATCATGCATGCCAAGGTGGATTCAACTTGAACAATACAAATTCTTCCCATTTTAATGTTTTGAATTTCTTGTACTTCCCTTTTTGGATTGAATTCATAATCAAATGTTTTCTTGCCCACATTTCTAAGAATATTTTTATTCGCTGATAACTGTGCAATATATGCATCATATTGTCAACAAATCTGCAACAATACTCTTGGAAGCTATGACTGCAGCTGCAAACCAGGTTACATCATCAACAATACCAAGCCCTTTCCTTCGAGATTATACAAATTAATTGTTTAGTTGCTAGCTACCCTTTTCAAATTGAAGCTGTAATTATGTATGTTTATTTCACCCACATTCTAAGAACACGGGCATATGCTTAATCAAGGAAAACATTCATGATACATGGCTTTGTTTACAGTGGAATAGTAATAATAATCCTTACTCATGTGCCTTTCGTGCACACACTTTCTGAGACCTCTGGTACATGCTTCCTCAATCAAAGTCAAAAGGTTCATTTAAAGTCTGAAGAATTCTTCACAATAGATTGGTGGAACAGTTTTCCGTTCACATATGATTTTTGTGCAGATTCATTTCCTGTGAGCTCCCCTTTGAGAACAGATAGGATATGCTCTAACTTTCCTTCATTCACACACAACAACATCTTCTTGCACTCATATAGTGCACTCCACAGAAGGGAGCGTGTCAGAACGCTTTGAGTCTTCTATCCTCATCACTTCTTTTCTCAGTCATTGAAGAATGTATAACAAATGCATCATCTTGCCAACAAATTTGAAACAACAACATTGGCAGATAAAGCTGCAGCGGCGAATCTGGTTACACCATCAACAACACCGATACATCCCTTTATGATGGTATGAATTATTGACTCCATTTGGTGTGCTCTAAACTTCCCTTTTCATTCTGGCATAAAATGATCTCCTTTCCTTCATTCATACATTCTCCTCTGAGGCTGTTTTTTCAACACATTATTGTTGTATGATACAAAAGGAAATGACAATATTTTCAATTGAGAAAATCAATTGCACTGTGTAACTATTCAATTTTCTGTGATTACAAACATGGCTAATGTGATCAGCATCTTAACTTCATTTCCCAGACATTGATGAATGTGCAACCAATGCATCATCCTGCCAACAAGACTGCAACAACACCATTGGCAGCAATAACTGCAGCTGCGTATCTGGCTACACTATCAACAGCAACAATGCATTCCTTTGTGATGTTACAAATTATTTTTGCTGGTTAATATGCTGTGATGTCCCCTAAGCAGACGGACAGGATTTGCTTTAAGTTTTATTGATTCACACTCTCTCACCTCAGCATGTTGTGTCTCATCAATATTCATGCTTATTGACATTTATATTTTTCTACTTTAACCTCAGAAATAAAATTGCCCTGATTACGTATTGCATTTACTGACATTGCAAACTTTTGTTCTTCTGATGAACATCTTCATTTCATTTCTCAGAGATTGATGAATGTGCAACAAATGCTTCCTCCTGCCAACAAATCTGCAAAAACACCAATGGCAGCTTTACCTGCAGCTGCGAATCTGGCTACACAATCAACAGCACCAATGCATTCCTTTGTGATGGTATGAATTATTTGTTTTGATTCATTTGCTGTAAGCTCACACTTGTATACTAATAGGACATTCTCTAACTTTATTTTATTCATACTCTCTCCTCTCATCATTTTGTGTCTCATCAACTTTAATTTCCTATTGACATTCAAATTATTGTAAATTCACATCAGAAATAAAAATGCCGTCAATACGTGTTGCATTTTCTGACTTTACAAACATTGCTGTTGTAATGAGAATGTTCAATCCTTTCCCAGACATTGATGAATGTGTAACAAATGCATCTTCCTGCCAACAAATCTGCAACAACACCATTGGCAGCTATAGCTGCAGCTGCGAGTCTGGCTTCATAATCAACAGCACCAATGCACTCCTTTGTGATGGTAATAATTATTTGTGTTGATTGATTTGCTGTGAGCTCGCCTTTGCATACTGACAGGACATTCTCTAACTTTCTTTATTCACACGGTCTCCTCTCAGCATTTTGTGTCTCATCAATATTCATTTCTTGTTCACATTGAATTGATCGTAAATTCAACGTAGGAATAAAATTGCCCTCAATTCGTGTTGGGTTTTCTGACTTTACAAACATTGTTGTTGTAATGAGAACGTTCAATTCTTCTTCCAGACATCGATGAATGTGCAACAAATACATCATCCTGCCAACAAATCTGCAACAACACCATTGGCAGCTATAGCTGCAGCTGCGAGTCTGGATACACAATCAACATTATCAATGCATTCCTTTGCAATGGTATGATTTTTTTGATGATTCATTTGCTGTGAGCTTCGCTTTGAGAACGGTTAGGATAGCTCTAACTTTCCTTCAATTACACATGTTCCTCTCAATATTTTGTCTCTGATCAATATTAATTCTTATTGAAATTAAATTTTTCTACTTTCACCTCCGAAGTAAAAGTGCCCTGAATTCGTATTGCATTTTCTGACGTTGCAAACTTCTGTTCTTGTGATGAACATCTTCATTTCATTTCTCAGACATTGATGAATGTGCAACAAATGCTTCATCCTGCCAACAAATCTGCAAAAACACCAATGGCAGCTTTAGCTGCAGCTGCGAATCTGGCTACACGATCAACAGCACCAATGCATTCCTTTGTGATGGTATGAATTATTTGTTTTGATTCATTTGCTGTAAGCTCACACTTGTATACTAATAGGACATTCTCTAACTTTAATTTGTTGATACTCTCTCCTCTCAACATTTTGTGTCTCATCAACTTTAATTTCCTATTGACATTCAAATTATTGTAAATTTAGATCAGAAATAAAAATACAGTCAATACGTGTTGCATTTTCTAACTTTGCAAACATTGCTGTTGTAATGAGAATGTTCAATCCTTTTCCCAGACATTGATGAATGTGCAACAAATGCATCATCCTGCCAACAAATCTGCAACAACACCATTGGCAGCTATAGCTGCAGCTGCCAGTCTGGCTTCATAATCAACAGCACCAATGCACTCCTTTGTGATGGTAATAATTATTTGTGTTGATTGATTTGCTGTGAGCTCGCCTTTGCATACTGATAGGACATTCTCTAACTTTCTTTTATTCACACTCTCTCCTCTCAGCATTTTGTTTCTCATCAATATTCATTTCTTATTCACATTGAAATTATCGTAAATTCAACGTAGGAATAAAATTGCCCTCAATTGGTGTTGGGTTTTCTGATATTGCAAACATTGCTGTTGTAATGAGAACGTTCAATTCTTTTCCCAGACATCGATGAATGTGCAACAAACACATCATTCTGCCAACAAATCTGCAACAACACCATTGGCAGCTACAGCTGCAGCTGCGATTCTGGCTACACAATCAACAGTATCAATGCATTCCTTTGCAATGGTATGATTTTTTTTGATGATTCATTTGCTGTGAGCTTCGCTTTGAGAACGGTTAGGATAGCTCTAACTTTCCTTCAATTACACATGTTCATCTCAATACTTTGTCTCTGATCAATATTAATTCTTATTGACATTACATTTTTCTACTTTCACCTCCGAAGTAAAAGTGCCCTGAATTCGTATTGCATTTTCTGACGTTGCAAACTTCTGTTCTTCTGATGAACATCTTCATTTCATCTCTCAGACATTGATGAATGTGCAAGAAATGCTTCATCCTGCCAACAAATCTGCAAAAACACCAATGGCAGCTTTAGCTGCAGCTGTGAATCTGGCTACACAATCAACAGCACCAATGCATTCCTTTGTGATGGTATGAATTAATTGTTTTGATTCATTTGCCGTGATGTCCACCTTTTATACTGACAGGATATGCTCCAAATTTCTCTGATTCACACTCTCTGCTCTCATCATTTTGTGGCTCATGATCATTAATTTCTTATTGGCATTCAAATTATGATACCTTCGCATCAGAAATAAAAATGCAGTCAATACCTGTTGCATTTTCTGACTTTGCAAACATTGCTGTTGTAATGAGAATGTTCAATCCTTTTCCCAGACATTGATGAATGTGCAACAAATGCATCATCCTGCCAACAAATCTGCAACAACACCATTGGCAGCTTTCGCTGCAGCTGCGAGTCTGGCTTCATAATCAACAGCACCAATGCACTCCTTTGTGATGGTAATAATTATTTGTGTTGATTGATTTGCTGTGAGCTCGCCTTTGCATACTGATAGGAGATTCTCTAACTTTCTTTTATTCACACTCTTTCCTCTCAGCATTTTGTTTCTCATCAATATTCATTTCTTATTCACATTGAATTGATCGTAAATTCAACGTAGGAATAAAATTGCCCTCAATTCGTATTGGGTTTTCTGACGTTGCAAACATTGCTGTTGTAATGAGAACGTTCAATTCTTCTTCCAGACATCGACGAATGTGCAACAAATACATCATTCTGCCAACAAATCTGCAACAACACCATTGGCAGCTACAGCTGCAGCTGCGATTCTGGCTACACAATCAACAGTATCAATGCATTCCTTTGCAATGGTATGATTTTTTTTTGATGATTCATTTGCTGTGAGCTTCGCTTCGAGAACGGTTAGGATAGCTCTAACTTTCCTTCAATTACACATGTTCCTCTCAATACTTTGTCTCTGATCAATATTAATTCTTATTGACATTACATTTTTCTACTTTCACCTCCGAAGTAAAAGTGCCCTGAATTCGTATTGCATTTTCTGACGTTGCAAACTTCTGTTCTTCTGATGAA